AGAGTGCCTGGAGCTGGTTGGTCACCGCTCGCTCCAGAACCTCGCCGAGAAGCAAATGTTTGCCCCCAGCCTAAAAGCGTGGAGTCCTCCTGGGTCCAGGGAGGGCTTCTGCAGGAGCGCTCTCCCCGCCACTCGATCCAGGGGGCCAGGGACCACTCCTCCTCGCAGGGAAGAATCGATCACCCCCCCGCCCAGCTGGCTGTTCCCCCCTCCCGGCTTTTGCTAGCCAGGAGGGGAAGGATCCGGAGCAGTCCTGGCTGCAGGAACCTGTCTGAGCAGCTTGTTGGCATCCTCCGCCTTGTTAGTGTTACACGCCGCAAATTCTGTGTTTGCATCACATTTGCACTTGCTTTGTGAGCCTCTGCATTTATTTTTGATCTCGTTTGGGCAAGATTTTCACTTTCTAAAGGGGACCACCTTTTCTCTCCCTTTCAATCTTCTTTTAACTCCACTGTACTTTGCAATACCGTTCTTTTTAAGGCATGGGACTGCGGTGGATAACTTGATTCCGTCAGAAAAAACCGCACCGCCTTGATTACTAGTTAACCTCTTTATTTCGGGTTGCTGAAGGTGCCATTTCGTCCTACGCTGCGAGTGCGGCTGCGTCGGCGGCTCCCGCCAGCCAGAGGGGACCTCTCGGCGCAGCTTTGCCCGTTTGCACCGTGCGGTTCGCGGCCGGGGGCCGGGGGCCGGAGCAACTGCAGCCGCCGGCACGGGAAGGGGGTGGGGGGAGGAAGCGGGGGAGGGCGCCTGGTGCTTCCAGGAAAGGTGGGCTCGAGGAGGAGCCCGCGAGGTCCTCGGAGGAAGCGGGCCCTCCCGGCGAGCCTTCTCCCCTCGGGCGGCAGGGGGCGAACGCGTCTCGCCGACGGTGCAGCCTGGGCCGCGCTCCTTCCGCCCCGGGGGCGCTGCAGCTTGTCCAGTCCAGCGGTGGTCAGGTGTCCTCCTCCCAAGGGAGACGCGCTCTGTGAGTGCGCAGAAGCTACACGTGCCTCAAGAAAACGCGAGGGCCTTGCCCCGCTGCCGGCCCGCCTCAAGCCCCACTTCTAGGAAGGGCTCGCCGGCCCGTGGGCAGGGCGCAACCTCGGCCCGCAAGCAGCAGGCGGCGGGCGCCGAGCGGCCCAGGAGTCCGCACCGCGGGAGGCGATCGCGGAGGCGGAAGGGGCGCTGCGGCGGCGGAAGCGCGGGCCTCCCTTGCCCGGGCCGGGGGCGGCGCCCCGGGGCCTGCGCGGGCTGCGGCTGCCAGTCGTCCCGGTGCGCCACGTGCGCCTCCGCGCCACCTGAGCGCAGGCGCCGGCCCGGGAGGGCGCGGACAGCTGCCCGCGGCTCCTGGGGGGCCGCACCGCCTCGCCTCGCCTCCCTCCGGGAGCAGGAGCGGGAGGGGGCGAGGGCAGCGGCGGGGGCTGCCCCTCCCCGCGCTTGGTTGTCTGTCAGGCCATCAAGTAGAATTTGATTAATATGCAAATAGTTGGTGGCGGGAGGGGAGGAGACGGGGCGCAGGAGAGGAAGAGTAATTAATCACCAGTTAAAGGAAATGAGCACCAACAGCGGAGGGTGACAGAGACAGCAACGGAGCTAATCAACCGGAAAATTGGACAAGCGGGGCGGGCGGGGCCCCCCGGGACACAGCGGCGGAAGCGGGCGGGGGAGGAGCCAGAGCGCGCGGCCAGAGGGAGGGCCCGGGCAGGCCGCGGCGGGCGCCCCGACCACCGGCGGGGCGCGTGCCGGAGCGCGGCCGGCCCGGGAGCTTCGCCCTCGCCCTCGCCCTCGCCCTCGCCGGGGTAGCACTGCCGGGCCGCAAGCTGCCTGGCGCTGCCGCGCGCTGCACCGGGCTGCCCCCTCGCCAACGCCCCGCCCGCCCCGGCGCCTCCCCCGGCGGAGGGAGGGAGCCGCTCAGGCCGCGCTCGCCACCTCGGGGTCGGGGCCAAGGGGCTGCGGAAGGACAGCGCGCAGCGCCCCGCGCCGGGAGGGCCGTGCGCGGCATCCGAGCACGTGCGCCCGCCCTCGCCAGGAGCCCGAGGCGCGTCTCGTGGCCCTT